CTGCCCCTCTACACTTGGTTCTGGCTAGGCTGAACTCTACCCAATATAAGAAAGTTTCCAACAAGAGCGGACTTCTGAGCAGTGACCCTCTGTGTCATATAAATAGCGTCTGTGATATATACAGCCTGTCACACACACACACACACACACACACACACAGCCTCCTGTGGAAACCATCTTCAGGATGATTCGTGCAGGCACTCCTCGGCACAACCACTGAGTATAAACGTATGCTCCAATCTCTCCCTCAGAGAGAAGAGGACATTGGAGAGAAGCCAACCCCTGCCCAGCCCCCGAGCTGTGAGGCGGGAAGGCTAAGTGGAGCCCCGGGTCTCTTCTTGAACAGCGAGGTGCGGGAAGGCGGCTGTGGGTGCGGTGCTGGTGGCCGGCGCCCTACTCCTTCAACAGGCCCAGCTTCTTCAGGGCCTCCCTTCTGTGTTCATCGGATACGCTTTTTGGCGAGATCTTGACGCTGACACAGAGGGGCCGAGGCAGCTTGTCCCGGCTCTGTCCTTGGAAAGACAGGCGTTTGGAGTGCTGCTCCTGCTCCAGGTCAGCCAGCTTGCCCACCTGGATCCCCTCGAAGTCCTTCCCGGTGCCCAGGGAGGCAGGGCGGGGCCGCGAATTACGCAAGACGTGGGGTGACATCTGGTCCAAGAAGGAGTCTTTTCCCAGAGAGGCGCTGATCTGGGGGCTGGGCGCTTTCTCAGCCGAGAGGTAGCTGCTCAGCCCCACGCCCGACCGCTCCAGCGTGTTGGACTTGAAGTTCGTCTGTCTCAGGCCAGGGGTGCTGCTCCCCTGGAGGGTCAGCCCTGAGTCTGGGTTTGGCTGCGTCGGGGGACTCTTTGCCCTCGAGGCCTTAGGGATAGGAATTGGCAGGGATTGGACTGCCGGGGCTTTCCCTGGAGTGGGTTCCTGGGCAGAAAAGGAAACCTTGCCGGGAGAAGACCGCTGAGCCGGAGCCGGAGCCGGGGCTTTCAGCGGCGAAGGTCCCTGCGCAGGCGCAGGCGCAGGCGCAGGAGCCTTTCCCGCCGCAGGTGCGGCTGCGGAGACCGGAGCTGGAGCTGCGGGCCCAGCCGGGGAGGGGGCCTGAGCCCGAGTCTCCTTCAGTCTGAATGAGGGCCTGCTCAAGTGGGGGCTGGGCTCATCCCGGTCCTGCGGCAGCCCCAGCTTCTCCAGCGCTTCCCTGCGTGCCTTCCTCTGCTCCTGCAGCGAAGTGGGGGCCAGGCTGGCGTCTCCGGGGGCGGCCTCAGAGTGGCGGGACAGCCAGTTCTGGGGATCGCTGTGGAAACTGCTTCGGCTGCTCTTCAGAATGATATTTGGCGGCAGCTTCCGGGGCTTAGGGGCTGTGAGGGGAGCCAGCTGGGCATTTGGATCCCCCCGTGATGGGACGGGAGCATCTTCAGCTCTTGAATTCTGGGACGACCCAGCAGAGGGAGGCCGAGGCTGCCGCGGTGCCCCTGTCGGGCCTGTACCATTGGCCTTTTTGGGACATGGCCTCCGAAGCAGCCTCCCTTTTCTTCTGGGGGCTGAGTGAGGTGTGGAGCTGCGGCGTGTGGCTCTGCTCCCCTGGCCCTTTGGGCAGGCTGCCTTGCCCAGGCTGCTCCGGCCGGGTGTCCCGGAAAGCCTCTGGGGGGGGGATGAGCGCCACGTCCAGATCAAGGGCAGCGTCCTGGGGGACGGCGGGCGCCTGGCTGGGCTCTCTGCTCTGGCTGACCTGCTCTTTCTCAGGCCCTAGGACCAGCCCCTTGGGTGCCCCAGGGAGGTGGCTGTTAGTCTGGGTGGTGCTTTTCCAGAGGTTCTGGTTTCTGCCGATGTGGATATTTCTGGGGAGGCTGTAGGAGCCAGACTTGGAGCCCAGGCTCTGGGGCGCGGGTGGATGAGACAAGCTGGACGGAGTCCCTCTCCTTGGCTCTGGGCCTCGCGGAACAGTCGTCTTTTCCGGGTGTCCTGGGAGGGTCGGGAGAACAGGCGGAGAAGAGTGGGCAGTGAGAACCCTGCTGCCGGGGGAAAGAAACTGCTTTCCAAACTCTGATCTCCGGTTAGCAATGGATGGGTTTTGGTTTTTGTTGATTCCTCTGCTCTTACAGGGCAGCGCTCTTGTCTGGACAGCATTTAGAGTAACAGATCAATGCTAGCAGGTTCCCTTCAACCAAGGACTAGTGTTTCCTTATGTCTGGGGAAAGGGCAGCCCCAGATAGCTCTGGGTCCCTGGCTCAGGCTCTCCCTAACCCTCTACAGATGCACCAGGGTTGGCGGGGATTCGGAACAGCCCCTCTAGCTGTCCCGGGGCTCCCAGGTAACTGAGTCCAGTGGAAGCACTGAACATGAGCAGCGTCAACAGGTGATGTGCTCTGGCTTGGCCAGCCTTCTGCCTTCTCCCACCTTAACTTTCTAGAAGCACCTGGATGATTCTGTAATGGCCACAGCCGTCCCTGCACCAGAGAGTGACGTGGGCTCTTTCCTTGCAGTGAGTAAGCACATGCATCAGGCCCACTGGGCCAGGGACTCGGCACCAGGCAGCAGCGGAAGGAAGCCCCCCGTCACCATTTACTGCTCCATTTCCATGGAGGGTCTGACACATTGTCAATACATATTCGCTAAATGAATGAATAAATGATTGTAGTCTTGATACCGATGGGGCTGTCCTCAGGAGTAAAGTGCCGCCCTCGCCCTGGGGCATGTGGTCCCACCCTTATGGCCGCACATAAGTGCCACCTTGTTCCCCATCTACTGAGCCTCAACACTGCTGGCTCTCCACACTCTCGTGGCCCTAGAGGGGCCACCTGCTAAAGTTAAGGGAGTCCTTCCCTCTTCTTATCTCCTGCAGCCTCATCCCCTGGGTCACCCAGATTAGCTCCCCAGACTGGCTCAGGCTCTCCAGAGTCACCCCTCCCTGATTCTCTCTCCACGTCTGTGGTCATATCATTTTAGAATTTCTCCATAAGAGGATGGGAGCCTGTCAAACCCCTTTCCCTCCCAGGCCTCTGATGTTTCATAGAAAGACATAAGAGGCTGGCATGCCAGCAATCCCTTCTTCCCTCCAGGGACAAGGCTTTCTTTTAGCCAGGAGAGTGGGGAGGAGAGTTTTTCCTTCTGCCTGCAACCCTGGGAGCAGAGGGCAAGCAAGATGGAAAGGAGGGGGCAAAATGACGTACTGCTTTTCTGGGCTTCGCTAGACAGTCTCTCTTACCCTGGGGGGCGGGCTGGGTTGGGGGCAGTGCTCGGGGACCTCGGGGTGTTGTGGCTTGCTCAGACTCGTCAGTGGACAGTCCGCTGTCAGCCTCAGTGTCCAAGGAGCCAATGGTTTCCTCCAGGAAGAGCAGACACTCTTTCTCTTCAGCGGACAGGAAGTCGTAGCTGCTTTCACTCTGGAGGGAGGAGAGGGAGAGGATGCTGTGACAGGAAGTTCTGCAGAAACTGGCGGGGCCGGAGAACCACCCTGCATGGGGAAAGGAATGCTGAAGAGCTGGAAAACCTCTCCACCACGCTGTGCCGCAAACCTGCTGGAGCTGCTTCTTAAAACCGCAGGCACCAGGGAGAGCAGAGATTGTTGGGCTGTTGTTCCACCAGCACCTGAGAGCTGGGCAGGCAGGTGGCAAGTGCTCTTTTGTTTGCTGGATCCAGGGTGGAATGCTTTGGGGCCCAGAGGAAAGCAGTGCCAATTCTTCTGTCTGACCTATGTCAAGTATTTCACTCCGTGTGCCTCCCATTTAGTTCTAAATTATGTGGGCAACATAATGACTTGACCTTTAACTTGAATAGTATTGCTTTTAACCTTCTGAAGTACTTCTGCATACTTGACCTGGCACGTCAAGGACAGCAAGAGGACAAACAGGAAACACAGCCAACTACTCACTGCCAGGCAGGTGGGAACAGGGGATGACTAGTTACAGATAAATTTACTAAATAATTTATACTTGACTTTGAAATGCATTCCATACAGGGTTTTTCCCCTTGTATATTTACTTTCTTGATGGCATTTGGCTCTGGCGAACATTCAGAAAAGTATTCATGTCTTAAGCAAATATTAACTCAAGGGAGGAAGGTGGAGAAACTGGTATGGGGTTGAGTAGAAAGCAACTGAGCATTAGTATTAGATAGAAATTAAAATAAATAATTTTCACTATGAGAAAGCACATATGAGTCCTTGGGAGAAAAGTCTATGGCCCTTTTCTTTGTGGGGACAGGTAATTAGGTTTATTTATTTATTTTGTTGAGGAAGGTACTGGGGATTGAACCCAGGACCCCATGTATGCTAGGCAGACGCTGTACCACTGAGCTATACCAATAGGCCTTTTTAGATGGTTACTGCCCACGTTCTTCAAGGCCAGGAAGATCCAGGGAATAGTCGCTCTCCAAAGTTGAAGGCTGAAGGGAAAGCCAAAAGGGCTAATGGAAACATAGGACGTTTGGCTGAAGTCTCTTCCTGGCATCTCCACCCCTCTTCCTAATATTTGAGACCCTTCAAAAGTGTATATTCTCTAGACCCACTCAGATGGCCAGGAAAGACCAGCCTTATGGTAACTGAGATTCAAATTCATATCCAGGAAAAGTACAGTTTATTGCATGCCACTCACAAATAGTTAACCACAGTGACTTTGGAAGATTTGCGATGTCTGCCTACAGAAAGGCCCTTTCCTGTCTATCTGGAGGCATGTGCTAAGTGCTTAACATGCATTTCATTTACTCCCTTCAAGAACCCTATGAATTCCACGTTAATATTATCCCCATCTTAAAACTGAGACTGAAGCTTAGAGAAATTAAGTAATTTGCCCAAGGACATATGGCTTATAAGTAGAGAACCCAGACTCTTGATTACTCCCTGCTCTTTGATCTTTGTAAAAGACGGAAGTAATGCTGTTCCTTGCAGAGGGCTTCAGGAATCCACGTGCTATAAGGATTTACGTTCTAGTTCCCACCATGACCTCAGATCATTGACCCCCATGTCTCATCTCAGCTCAACTGCCTGACCTAATAAAAACCCGGGAAAAGTCTCATTTGTCCTGTTACTCTCTGGGGTTGTTCCACCCTATTCTCCAGAGAACCGGGGGTGACTCAGAGGCAGAAAACCAACTGGTGTGATTCACTCCTGGGCAAGGAGGATGAAAGAGAAGGAGCAGTGAGCGAGGCCGATGGTGGGCAGGGCAGGGCACGGCAGGGCAGGGCAGGGCAGGGGTGCGGAGAGCGGGCCAGGCTGCAGACAGAGGGTACGTACAGATCCCGAGCGGGTGGAAGTGACGCTCATCATGCTGTCGCAGCTGCCAACGCGGGTCACGGGTTCCGAGCCAGGCCCCGCTGGCCACAGCTCCCTCTCGGGCATCACCTGAAGCAAGGTGCAGGGGCGGCAAAAGGGGCTTCCAGAGGGGAAGCCAAGGGAAGCGGAGAATGTCCCCAGCCGGGCCTGAAAAGAGAAGAATCAAAGCCACATGTGAGCCGAGCCAGGCTCAGGTGGGGAGACTCTGTCCAGGCCCCGGAGCAGCAGGGCAGCAGGGACACCAAGGAAGCAGAGAGCGAGAGGGGGCCGTCAACAGCCACAACCCAAACCCAACCCACCCCAGCCCACACGGGGACACAGAAGCCGGATGCAGAACAACACACAAGCTGGCTCGCCAACATGCAGAAAGACAGACTTAGCAGTGGAGAAGCAGCCGAGTCAGAAAGGAGATCCCGTCATTCCTCCTAGTCACTTTTCTCTCTGAACCAGGGAGCTTAAGTTACATTTTCATCACTACAGACAGCAAATATTACAAGGTGAATAGCTTGGGTCCTGGAGGTGGCTGGATCTGGGCTTAAATCCCAGCTCTACCATTTACAGTGATGTGACTTGGGGGCAAATTACTCTTGGAGTCTGTCCTTGCTCATTAAAGAGGGTTAATATGAGGAGTAAATGAGGACAATTAGTACAGTTTAGTTGGCAGTAAAAACTCAAACACGGAAGGAATAAACCAGTAACCACTACTGTTCTTGTAATAAGAAAAAGACAAGTTCCATCTAGGATCAAATGAGACTGACTTAAGGGGAACAAAAATTTAGAATAAAAGGGTTCAGCTTAAATGGAAGACTAGAGCTTGAGAGAAGAAACAGAGTGCGTAATAGTACCTACTTCATAGGGTTGTCAACGTAAAACGAAATACTCCATGAGGAACACTTCGTGTGGTGCACAGCCCTATAATTGCCAGCTGCTGTCCTAGCCACACCATCACCATTGTAATGACTGCTACCACCACGGCCAGCATCACCTCCATCATTTCCCTAGGCTGGGAAGTATGTGCATGACCCCAGTGGTGGGCACAAACCCAGTTTCCCCCTGGTGTATCTCCCCCTGCTGATGCTGCACTTGTTCCCAAAGAGGCTCCCCTGCCTGTGATGACTGACAAGAGCAATGTCCTAGGTCGTTTTCTCCCAACTCCAATGCATAGAGAAAGAAAAGTTTTAAGTTCATGGTGCCCATTGTAATAGCAAAGGAAGGCAGTGCCATCTTTCTTCTGAAAATCCCAGGAATTTTCTTTTCTTTTTAAATTTTACTTATTTATTTATTTTTTAGGTGGAGGAAATTAGGTTTATTTATTTTAATGGAAGTACTGGGGATTGAACCCAGGACCTTGCATGCGCTAAGCACACACTCTACCACTGAGCTATAACCCTCCCCACCTCAGGCATTTTCATACTCCTGCTTTCAGGAAAAACTCCACCAGAGTTGGAAAGGCCAGAGGTGACTCTTCTACATTAAAATGAAATTCTAGAAGAATTAAGATTAAAAGACAATTCCAAGGTCAAGTAGGGAGCTGGGGGAGAGCTAGAATTTGAATATAGTTGGTCTGATTTTCTCCCACAATGCCATGCTTTATTTTCTACCATCTACCCTACCCTTTGGATACTAGGTAAAATGTCCTGGAAAACTGTGTTTCATTTGAGATCTTGAGGCTTGGGGTTTGGATTCCAGAGCAGGTTGTCTCCGGGCCTCTGTCAATAACTGCTTCCAGTGCCAAAGTCAGGTCTGGGCTGAGCTGGGTGAGTCAGCGCGCCAACCACATAGGGTTGACAAGCGCAAGGCCTCCCGGAGCTCCTCTGCTGCTTGGGAGGTGGCCTTCAAGTGGGGCAGGTAGGGAGGGGCAGGACAACCGGGAAGGAAGTGGGAAGATCCCTTATGGCCCAGACACGTGTAGCTCATAAGGGTCCAGAGCCTCTCAGGAGAGAGAGAGGGAACCAGAGGGGACAGTGGTACCAAAAGAAGCCCAGTGATAAATCAACATTGGGTTGCTAGCTCCTGGGGTCCCTTCATAAGGTTGGTTCCCCATTACCCAGAACCGCAAAGAAACAGAAACATGGAAAGTCAAGTGGATAAAGCTGTCATCTCAGCTATCCTCTCCATTAATGACTGTTAAGTACGAACTCATTCCTGACATTCTGTGGGGTTGAGACCATTCATTCAAGCAAAGAGGATTCGTCTCTCATACGTCCAGGTACACAGAAGGCACTCAAAAAATGCCGGATGAATAAACTTGTCATTCATCCTAGTGTCTACCAAGTTGAGCTGTTGCAAGTATTCTTTTTTGGCTTCTACCCTATTCCTGTAAGCTCTTTCTTAAACATTTTATTTCCTGGAGAATATGTGGCTTGATGGAGTTAGGGCAATGCTGTTAGTTACACTTACATTTATAAGCAGTTAATAGGCATGGGAAATGCAAAATTTATTAAGACAAAAGTATTGTTTCCAAGAAATCAGTGTAGATCCAAGGGTGTAATTTTTGGGCTCTAGTTTTCTTATGTGTAAAATTGGGGCAGTAAATACTCAAAGTGACTCACTGTAATTAACAGAATATTTATTCTCTGTGAAGGGGTGAGCAGGCTCTGCCTTTTCCTTTTAGAGAAAATGACTACCCCTGTTTTTCCAAGCACTCTTCGACTTTACAATGGTTTGCTAGCCTCTCCTTCCTCCCAGGGCAGCCTGTCACACTCTTGCTTTGGAACCAAGAATGGCCCAAAGCAGCTGGAAGACACAGAAGCAATATGAATAGCATTGCTTCAAAAAACATAGCAGGGTACCGATTACAATGTGCTTTTAGAGATGCTAATTAGGTCTTTAAAATAACCTGATGCCTTAGGCAAGATGTGACATTTTCCCCATTTGACAGATGAGAAAGCTGGGGCTCTTTTTACTTCCCCTTCCTAAGGGAAGTAGGGAATGCTCTGTAACTGCATCAGCGGGGCAGCCTATGGATCGCGGCCCCTCTAGAGGGCATCTCAGAGACTGTCCGGATGCAAGACAGCCATGTCCCTAAAGAAGGACCACGGGCCATCCCTGATTAAACACTGAAAGCCCTAAGATCACCCTTCTCTGTCAGCTCTATGTTTCCAGGCCAGCTTTTTGTCTCAACAGAGTAAAGAAATCCCACCAAACGCCACTGAAGCCCGTGTCATCGGCAGGACATTAGCGCTGCAGAGACGAATCTGAATCTGAGACAGAAGCTGGATGAGCCCTAAGGTGCTCATGCCTCACCTCCATACCTAGTGTTCTGACCTCAAAAGTTTGAACCCTGAAAACGTCTTCTCTTCTTCCCACTGCCCCTCCCCCTTTCCTTCATCCGTTGGACCAGAAATAGATGCTGCATTTCCTTCCACCGACTTTACAACCTTGAAACTTGGGGACTATCTCAGGATGGCCATCGAAACCTTAGGCATTTCTACTTGATAAGAAGCCTGAGCAATGAGCAAAACACTCAAGGTGAGAGTCTGGTATCTTTTAATCCTTGACCTCTTTGGGCAACTTGAGGAGGGGCGGAATGGACTAAGAAGTGTGCACAGCCTACATCAAGGCCACCCAGGCAAAGGCCCATTAAATATTAACTACTCGCTGAAACCAGCCCAGCCTCGGAGGAGAGTAAATACATGACATGTGGCATTCTGGCATCTGGAGAGGGTGGGGTGGGGAGAGGGCTCCAGCCCCACTCCCGTGTGGCTCCTTTGTACCTTCTGAACAGGCCCACGACCCCCTTGTTGCCCTCCTTCCGTGAGCCCACCCCAGTAACTTCCAAGAGTTCAGCCTCTCTCCCTCAGTGGTCAAAGAGGTCTCCTGTTTCTCTTAGGCCAGATGGCTCTACTTTTTGCTGACCACCCAGAAATGTGCCTTGAGCTGGAGGACATCCTAAGACAAATGTCAGGAACACAGATCATTCTCCATGAGCACACGGGCAAGTTTTGATGTGTGTTTAAGCAACATTCTTTTTTTAAAAATTTTTTTAAACATTTATTTATTTTAATGGAAGTACTGGGGATTGAACCCAGGACCTCTTTCATGCTAAGCACGCATTCTACGACTGAGTTATACTCTCCCCCCGCCTAGGCAATGTTCTAATCTCCTCTTTTACCAGTGGGTTTGAGGGAGAGGGTGGGCAGAAATAGTCCCTATGCAGAAGAGCTTTGCATGATGCTGCAGGTTATCTTTGTTGCTGACAAGGTCACCACCTCTGGCAGCCCTCAGTCAGTGAGCTTGGTGGGCTGGTTTTGTGGTGTGGGGCTGAGCTAAAGCCTAAAGCTCCAGTTGCCAGGACTGGACACCCAATATATATTCACTTAGGGCTGGGGTGCCAGGTCCTGGGAGCCAGGCAGTGAGTCTTCCCTCTTTTCTGAAGCAGAAGGAAAAGGGGTGAAGTCAGGGACCAGCATGTTGACCCTCACAAGCTGGATGATGGAGAGCTGACTTCCTGCTCTGACTTGACTTCTACATCCAACTGCCTTGCGCAGGGACCCTGCCAACTGGGACAACTGAGGGAACACAGAGCAGAAGCACTGCACTGATCTGGTTCTCCTCTCCGGACTCCGCCACACTGCACTGACCTGAGCCCCACTTGGAATTCCTACTAGACTCAACATGCCACCGTGAAATAGTCATGTGGGTGAGGCCCCGGCACAGCTGAGTAGCTTTCTGCTTGCCAGTCCCTGCGTCTGTTAACAGGCACAAGTTGGAAAATTAATTAAGTTCAACTCAAATAGGTTCAACTTTGCAACTACATTATCTGTGGGTTTTCCAAAGGTGAGCGGGTAGCCTGAGTTAGAGTTTTCTCAGTGTAACCAAACCTCACACCCTCTTACAAGCAACTTAGCCTGGCTCATGCCTTATACACCTGTCCACAAAGAGCTCCATTATGATCACCATTATTGAACACACACACACACACACGGCACCCTTTATTTAAATAGAGATAGACGTTGAGTTGATAAAGCCACGGGGAAATTTCCAGTTAGAAATGCAATGGAAAACCAAGGCACTTTTCTCCTCTGGGCAATCCCCTGTTTTGAATCCCTCTATTCCAACGATTCTCTTCCAAAATCACAACTCAGTTTCAATAGTTCAGAGACAGAAATTTCTAAAACACACCTGTTTTCTTTTCTCGCTGCCTA